CGCCCAAACAAAACAGACACCAACCACCAGTGTTTTCAAACCTTGCCCACTTTAAGAGGAGTGGACTTAAACTCCCAGAATCCCCCAGCCAGCCATGGAATTCTGGGAGTTGAAGTCCACTCATCTTAAAGTGGCCAAGTTTGGACAACACTGCTGTATGGTGTCTGATCTGCTGGGTCGGTATTCTGTGGGGGGGAAAAATGTTGTAAGCAGTTCCTGGCAGAGATCTCTGTCTGAAATCCCAGAGAATGAGAGGCTGGATTCTGACACGGCGATAAACCATAACATGATTGGTTTGATTTTGGATTACAATGTTATATGAAGAAAGCCATCAGTGGTTCAGGCATCATTTCCAAAAAAGGGTGTGGGCCATGCCAGTGACATCACAGCACCCTCAACCACGCCCCTTGTGGTTCCTAGGCACGGTGTGGGCCAAAAAGGTTATACATCCTGCCAAACTATTATTTTGTTAACTGTGGTTTCTTAAATTAATCAACCAACACAGCATGCTGGCTACAAGCCATAGCTTGCAAATCTTAGTAGATGGGTTTTCAGAAAATGCTGTGCTAAAAGCAAACATATGGCTTAGAGTGATGAATGAGCCCAGCCAATCCTGGCTTAAGTAATACTATGGTTAGTGAATGAAACTGGTAGTCTGCAAATAACAAACAACGTCTGTGTATCTTAATTACAATTACTGCCAGTGGAAAGGTTTTATTCATTTTTAGCTCAAACATTAATACTGCCCTTCATCAATCTCATATTAAAAAATCCTGAAGCCTTGCCAGCAAAAATGCAGGCTGACCCATCTCCATAGGAGAAAAGATCTGGGTCTTTTGGAAGAGTTTAGTGTTGTCTTCAGAGTTCGGTCTTTTTGCTGATAGTTTCCAGCGTTGGCTGCTTGACGAGGCTGGTGGCACATCGGAAGCTCAAGTTGTCTGAAGAAGAATCAGGGGTGTTCCCCATCCTATGGATTAAAGGAACAAAGTTTCTCTTAGCAGAAGGTTTCCTGAGTCATCTGGCCCAAATCCAGAGCTAGCTCAGCCTTCCTGAACCCTTTGCCTTCCTATGTGTTAGGACTGCAACCCAGAATCCTGCCTGGGAAATTTTAGGGACTGCAATCCAAATATACCTGAAGGATGCCAGATTGGGGAAGGTTGGGTGTTAATCCACTGAATCAGTTAAATTGGGTGAGTTTAAGAAGGAATCCTCAATTCTGCAATGGTAAACATCAATGTATTCTTAAATGAATATCTAACATAAATCATAAACTATCAAAGAAGATGCATTCTTGCTTTTTCACATAGCACAAAATGACTCTTCTGTACTGGTTCCTGTTGGGCCATTTACAAGAATTACCTGAAAACTAGGAGAATGTTACTTTTATCAGCACCTGTTTTTTAATATCTACCTCAATATTTAATTAAATAAAACACATTTGAACAACTACAATTTACCTGGTTGATTGCCTCAGATTCTATGCCTGTAAGGGCTAGGAACTTGAGTTTTAATTATTCATATTTTTAAGAGAATTCATAACTACAGTTGCACCAGATGAAAAAGATACCTTCTGGTCCAAAATGCATTTTTCCCCAATATAGTATTTTAAATATTCCCAAGCATAGACTATGCTAGATTTGAAGTGAGGAGTATATATATCACAAAATACCATTTATAATTGATAATTTTAGCAAGTTAATCATTTATTATTATTATGGCTATAAAATGTGCACTTTACTTGAAAATAATGTTTATTTAAATGGGTAGATGTGTAGGCTCATGGATTAAAAAGGTGTTATTAAAAATCTCTCTCAAAAACTGAATTTTGGGGCAACAGTTACAAAGATCACTGATACTTGAAAAATTGTGGACAAATACAAAGTTTAGTTTAAGCTTCAGTTAATGTATTTGCTTGTTTATTTATTTATATCCCTCCATTTTTGCAGGAGCTCAAGGCACCTGATATGGGGATCTCCCTTAACTTTATCCCCACAATGACAACAACCCTGTTAGGTGGGATGGACTGAGAGAGGGTCCAACTCAAAGTCATCCAGAAAATTTCCACTGATCCTGCTTTCCCCTGTCCTAGATCACCATTTAACTACTCCACCAACTCCCAGTTGCACCCATGGGTGTCTGCAGCCCTGGCTACTTTTGACAAATGGCATCAGCAGCATCCTGCTGTTATGCCAGAAGCCCCGCCCCTTTTAAGTGCCTGTATGATATAACGACACGCGTGCAAAAGGGGTGGGGCCTGCAGCACAATGGTGCGCTGTTGCTCTTATCAGTCTGATGGAAGCTGCTGGTTGCACTTGTCCTGTACAGCTTTGTGGGCTGGGGGGAGAGGATGCCGATGAGACGTCGCCTGCCTGCACACCTGGTTGAAACCTGAGCCTTGTGATTGGCTGAGCCATCCACCGTATCAATCCAGGATGCTCCTCGCAGGACACGCATCTTTTGAGCAGACTGGCGGGATGCAGGACCATTTGGATGATACTCTGAGGATGTCCATTCCCAAGTATTTCCTAGCAAGTCGTAGAAGCCTGTGATCCAGCAAAGACAGAAATTCACTTGGGGAAGCCTCTAATCTGCCCTCAGAGAAATATATGATCCTTGGAAGGTCAGGAAGGAAAGGAGGAAGTAGTAGGAAAACGCACCCTAGACTGTGTTCTGAAAAACTGATGCTGGCTTATTTTCTAGAACTAAACTTGCACTCAGATCACAAACTGAATTGCTGGCCTGGAATGGAGGCTGCAGTACAGGTAGTCCTTGCTTAGTGACCATAATTGGGACCAGGAACTCTCTTGCTAAGCCACATGGTCGCTAAGCGAGACATCACATGAGTGTGACTTGTGATTCTACTGCCACTGGCTCTGCTTGTTGCAAGCTGGCTATGAAGCATGCAAATGGTGATCACGTGACTGCAGGACACTGCAACAGTCGTAAATGCCTGCTGGTTGCAAAGCGCCTAAATGTCAATCACATGACACTGGGGACACTGCAATTGTCATAAGTATGAGGACCAGTCATAAAGTTACTTTTTCAATGCCATCATAACTTTGAACAGTCACTAAACAGGGCAGTTTTTAAATGAGATCTGCCTGTATTATCTACATAGCATGGTAAAACGTAGCTATGAATCATGGAAGGCAATTTAGCTTGCTAGAGAACTAAAAGCTAGCACTTTCAGGAACCTTTATTTAAAATGCTGTCTGTTCCACATCAGGGCCAGCAGACTAACCAGTTCCAATGACTGAATTCAAACATTACATTAAGCCATAATTCAGTTTCGATTTTGTTTTGGTTGGGCATGTTTTATGAATCCAGGCATTGTGGATTGCCAACTTTTGTTACTTAATTTGTTGCATGTATCAAAGCTTCACTTGGCCTTGGGTGGTGTGCCAGGATCCCACCCTTAAAACTTAGGCAAGGCCAGATGAATTTAAGTCCCACTGGTTTCAATAAGCCTATTCTAAGTATGATTTATATTAAGCATGTGTAAATGTTGCTGCTTGGCTCAAAGGCTCAATTAGTGTTTTAAGAAAATTAAATATCCTAGCCCTGATAAGTCTTTACACATTATTTTGCTTTATACACTGCTTTTTCTCCAGCTGTCAAGGTGGCATGAGAAATATTTATTCCTCCAATTTTATCCCACCACAATCCCATGAGGTAGATTGGACTGAGTGAATGAGTGAGCTTCTGCACCCAAGTGGGAACTTGAATGTGGATCTTCCATCCTAGTCCATCCAGACCACTACACCACACTGGTACACAAATAATAGGATGCTGAGGCCAAGAAAAACATAATCTTACCATAGTTGTTCTGAGGAGGGAATGCTGCTACTGGGGATACTCCGCGGAAGCCATCTTCAGCTGTGTCAACCTTGGGGAAGTTGCCCTGTGCATAGAAAGGGAGGTAAATATGCAAACAACTGGGGTAAGCGAAAGAACAACAAATTCAAAGCAGGGTCCCAAAATTCTGGGGGAGGGGACAGTTCAAGAGTAATCCTGAGCAGCCTGTGAAACAATGACACGGTATGGTTGATTGACTGATAGATTATGTATCATCAAATTGGCATTGACTCTTAGCAACCACCAATAGATGTATTTATTTATTTAATAAATGTATAGGGTGCTCATCTCGTTTACATGACACTGGGCAGGTAACAATGAAAACAGAGTAAAAAACAACAAAACTTATCTGGATTACAAACCACAAAAATAACATAAAAATTGCAGCCAAGAACACTTATAAACACTCAAGCTTACCATGAAATGGGCTCATCCGTGCTATCAGGACCCCAGGTTTGATGGCAAAACCAGATTTTCAGTGCCTTGCAAAAGGCCAGCAGAGTCGGGGCAAGTCTCATTTCTAGGGGGATGATGTTCCAGAGGGCATCCTTCAGATGGATCTTCTCCAGGACATTCTGTCCCCAACCTCATCCATCAGATCTTCCAACAGTTATACCCACTAGAACTGAATCCATCCACTTCATCGCTGGTCATATTTTTTTTCTCTTTCCTTGCATTTTTCCCAATATTATAGACTTCTCCAGAGAGCTAGGCCTTCACATAACACGTCCAAAGTTTGACAATTTCAGCCTGGTCATTTGTGCCTCAAATTGCATGGTATAACCAGCTGCAAAGTGTAAAGGGCTGACCATGCAAATAAAGAAGAGTCTTGGGCCATAAGGACATGCACATGTGGAACAAAAGAATCTAAGCTTGGGAGATGGTCTACACCAGTGTTTTTTCAAACCTGGCAACTTTAAGATGTGTGGATTTCAACTCCCAGAATTCCCTAGCCAGCATGCTGG